GCATTCCGAGGGAGTCTCTGAGGAGAATTTTGATTCAGGATGTGCATTCGTACCCATACAGGATAGAAATTAAGCATAAGCTGACCCAGATAATTCCCCTACCGGGAATAAACCGCGTGAACGCTCTCTTCAACGACGCTCCGTGTCGTTGTTGATCCGAGTCAATCTCGGATCGTTTTCGACCCGGGACGAACGCTCCGTGTGAACGCGGCTTACGTTGCGCGTGCGCGCGCACGTGCGTGCGTGCGAGAAACAGCCATACAGCTTCAGGGTAACTACGTTTACAGATCGTGATGCGATAATACACGGCATGCCATCCATCCATAACCGCAAACGGACCCCCCCCCCACACACACACCACCCACCCACCACACACACACGCACGCGCGCGCAGGTACGCACGCACGCACGTACACGCACACACGCACACACACGTACGCACGCACACCCGTACGCACGCACGCACACACACACGTACGCACGCACACACGTACGCACACGCACAGGCACGCATAGGCACGCACACGTACATGCACGCACGTACGCACGCACGCACACACCCACGCACACGCACATGCACGCACGTACACCCACGCACACGCACATGCACGCACGTACACACACGCACACGTACATGCACGCACGTACGCACGTACACTATACTAATACTACTAGTAATACCCGGACCCACGCTCGTTGGCACGCACCTAGACACACTAGTGCACACAGGAAGTACACTCACACGCACACACGTACGCTCGCTGGCAAGCGCACGCACGCACGCACGCACGCACGCACGCACGCACGCACAGGCGTCGGTTGAGTTATCGCAGTTACTGCCGACCAAACTTCTTTAAACCGCTTTCTCTATTTTTTACCTGATATTTTTCCCGCTCTATCGCTAATTAGTATGATTGCACTTTATACTCTATCGCATAACACACATACACATGCACGTACACCTGGTCATTTTTGCCTCATTATCATATCGACATGCACGCGACGACGGGCGTCAAGACACCTCTCAAAGATCCAGGTTGGAAAAACCGAAGCCGACTTACATCGGCTGACGTCATAGGCCGACGTCATCCGGTGACGTCATCAGCCGTCGTCCGCTAAATCATGCGCGCGCTGAATTGAAACGACCGGTTTAAAACGAACTCGTGTTATCGCATCAGAAGACATCACCTAATATCTCTTACATGTACGGAATGTAAGAAAAAGCGAGTCGAGTAAGAAAAAGGGGGAGAGATTCTTCGACTCTTTAATTAGTCCGTTACGCGATTGCTTTTCCGTGCGGGAAAAAAAACCTAAAAAGAAACATTGCATCTTGTGTCAATTTGTGTTACGATAAAAATTGTAAAATGAAAAAAAAGCGCTACGGCGAGGATTTTTCATCTATTTTAGAATCAACGCTACCATGCATTATCGCACACAAGGCCATCGGCAATACAACTCACCAGGTGTCTCTAGTGTACTGCGTACACATCAAATGCATTCTGACAACACAGATCAGTTCATACAAAGGTCGTAATATACTATGCCGAGCGAACAGCAATGTAGAAAACTGGACACTGGTTGCAATGAAACAGACAGCGGAGTAGCTCTCTGAGCGCCACAACAACATACGAGCTGGCGTGTTACAAACAATACAAACATCAGTGAAACCGCACACCGGTCGCAATATACAGCTAACATTACAATGATGCAAACAGCGACGTTAATTATCATGCAATTAGAAGCTCATTAAACGACGATCAAGTGCAACTCATTAGCATCGATAGCGATGTGGTAGACTGGCACTCAATACGTGGCCAAATCAACTGCTGCTGCTGCTGCTGCCGCTGCTGCCGCTGCTGCCGCTGCTGCTACTGCTGCTGCTACTACTACTGCTGCTGCTGCTGCTGCTGATGTCGCTGCTGCCGCTGCTGCCGCTGCTACTACTGCTGCTGCTGCTACTACTACTGCTGCTACTACTGCTGCTGCTGCCGCTGCTGCTACTGCTGCTACTGCTGATGTCACTGCTGCCGCTGCTGCCGCTGCTGCCGCTGCTGCCGCTGCTGCCGCTGCTGCCGCTGCTGCCGCTGCTGCCGCTGCTGCCGCTGCTGCCGCTGCTGCCGCTGCTACCGTTGCTGAGGCTGGTGCAGCAGCATGTATATATATCTGTGTGTGTATATACCGTATACACGTCCAAACAACTCTCATGATAATATTCGTCTGAGGATATACAAAAACACGAGCAAACACTCAGAGAGCTGCACCCGCTGTTTCGTCTATGCCGATTCCGCTTTCCTGCGCAATAGTTGCACACGCGCACCAGTCATATCTGACTGCATACTATCAAGAGTGCATATTACATCTCTATTATGTACACTTGATATTACATTAGTCATGAACACAACACTACTACAGGTCCGCTATACCGCCCACGTCATCATGCATTAGGTAATATAATGGCTTTACGGCGTTATTGGGCGCGTTTTTATTATGTACGAGTCGAGATTCATGGAAATATTTTTATTTCGGTGTGATTCTGATTCCGACACTTCGCACCTCCGGTATGTATGCATCGTCATCCGCTTGTTCTTACTACATGAAACTACAAATAGTTGCTGTGACCAGGCGTATGTAGACGCTTTGTGATTGGCCAAGACGAGAGGTTTATCGCGTAGACTGCGAAATAGGTAAAAGGAAGAACAACACTGGTGGACGCGCCCATCCCATGTGGCGAGTACGGACGCAACTTTGCTCTGACAACAACACGTTTTACTTTTACACTTTCACACAACGCCACGCGTGTGTTGATGAGAATATTGTCAGTAATCTACGGGCGACTTATTAGGCACCATATGGCGGTATGCATAAATCATGCCGAACTTTTATGTTTCCATGGCAACCATCAGTTATTATGTCTTGGTACTTATTGCCGTAGTTCTTGAGTGTATAATACAGACACTGCTTAGATCTGCTTGCGTAAGCGAAAAACACGCACACGTGCGCACGCGCAGGTACACATAGAAGGACACGCAGTTTACGGCCGAGGATGCATTGACTATGAAATTCAAATTCTACACCTGTCCCTATATATGCACTGGCAGCTGGGGCCGGACAGGTATTCCTTGAGGCCACGAAATCTGCTCAAGCTACACATTACGCGTACCTTACAGCCAAACTAAATTCGATCTATATACTGCAATCACGGCTACTTTACTGTAGACTAGAAGCGTTCATCATACGCGGAAGATATTTCACAAAACCCCGACTCAGTATCGAGCAACAAGGGGAGATCATTTCATTTATTGCAGACAGCCTGGCATCAACATGTTTTTATAGAATTGTTTTAATTTTATTAGCAATGTCTATTAACTTGCTTACCTAATTATGTTACCTGCAAAATGTAATTCATAAGTGTAAATAAAGTACATTGAATTGAATTGAATTGAATTTATACTATGCCTCTGCACTGCTACTAGCGTTGAAGATTATAGCTACCTGCTAATAGTTCTACTACGCGTATATTCACTACACATCGGTGACCTTCGGAGGCCTACCACTGCGACCGTTTGTAATCTAATGACGGACAATCGTTGACCGAGTTAACGAAATCAACGCTGATCGAACTTCTTTTAATCCACTTGCCCTATTTTTTACCTGGTATTTTTCCCCTGACTGCCGATGATTAGCACGACAGCGCTTTATTCTATCACATAACACACACACATGACTGGTCCAGAGGTATGATTGCTGGGGTTTGAAGAAAAAAAACCACAGCCCGGGGTCTGGGGGCTGAGTAAGGAAGCATTTTCCTGCAATCTGAGCCATTTCCTGGCATCTAGAATTAACTTTGAAATCACAATTTTCTTGCTATTAAGTTTAGTCCCACAGTGAACGTTATTTCTGTAATATTGAACTTACTAGCTAAAAAAAATTACACACCTGTTTTTGTTAAATTTTTATTACAAATTTTGACGTTTCAAAAAATCGATCCGGAGCTGTTAAAAAAGCGGAATTCCGCCAAAAAACGAAAAAATCACAACTCCCTGATCTTATATGCAGCGAGGGCTCACTAAATAACGCACTTACTACTAGAGACCTGGTGTGTACTATAAGTCTCATTCCGCAGGTGTTTAAATATGGAGTGTCTACGAAATCCGTTGATTTCATCATGCAATTGGACTGCTAGACATGCTCAACACTTACACTCATATAACCGACCACTTATTCACCTTACGTCACACATAGCAACCCCTCACCCCCCTGCAACCATCAGTCATACTATAAATGCGAGAAATTCGGTTGCCTCACGGCCGCAGACATCCTGGTGAAAATGTGGCCAGCGTTGTTCAACCCTGGTGTTGACACAAGTTTTTAGATTACTTAGTCAACATTTCACTTTTGTCCTTTATATCAGAAATGCCGGCATGAAAGGGTAACGTCACAGTACAGTTGCTATACCGCGCAGGAAACTATACGTAAGAACAGCTATAACTGTGGCTCGGCATAACTGCGGTGCAAGCGCTACAGGCTGTTGTAGGATAACCTGCCCAGTACAGGTAGAGATACAGGTAGAGTAACTGATCATCACTAGGTAGAGTAACTGATCATGTGCTGTCTAACTTGTAAATAGTTAAATACATTACGACTTTGCCTGATGCAGTCATGGTCGTATAAAAACAAGATATGGATAGGTAACAACAATACGAAATATAAAGTACTAAATATCCCAGAGTAACCTGATAGGTACCTGCGGGCATTGCTATATACAATGCTGGCCTACAGTTTACAAGACTGGCAATAAAACTGACACGCATTAAGCTAGTGCGCATAATTATAATTCATTGCCAAATATCATTAAGAAAAACAACCCTTCATTTGAATTAAATGTATAACTCAAAAATATAATATAGTATATTTATAATATAAACATACATTTAAAAACGAGAAAAAAATCATTATTAATAATACCCTAATATATATGCGATCAGTAATAAATTACTCACCTCCTAAGAAGTAACATTAAATTCACACTGCAGTGTCAGTCTAAAACAGCCATGTCACGGTTCCAATCCATCGAGTGTCACTGTAAAATAAGAAAGAAATACGAATTAGACTGGCACCAAACTTTAATTTCCCCTACACCCAGAGGGCAAATGCGCATTAGTACAATAATCGATATCTGTATCAAATGCAGTATCTATAATACCTATAATAATCAATAATCTATAACTACTGCACACGGCTACTCGTAATGGTGCAATGATGAAATGCGCAATTTTGCCATTTAAACTTATAACATAAAAACAACACACGACGTCAATGGCCAGCGATACTATAATCTATAAGGGCTAATATATAATCTTGAACATATTATCTTAAGACATACACTGATCACACTGTCGAGGTTGTATGATGTTCCACATTTTTTATACGTTGACACTGCAACGTCACGACACACAGATCCTGCAACGTCACGTCACACAGATCCTGCAACGTCACGACGCACCAATCCCGCAACGGCATGCGATGACACGACGCCCGATGCAAACGTCACGACGCAGGAATCTGCTGCGTCAGAAGCAGGATCCTACAGCGTCACGACGCACGAACCCGCTGTGGGAGTGTCGTCAGGACGACATGACGGGGAACGGCCCCTGCAGCACTGACGCTGCTATAACATCGCCTGACTCAGCAAGCAGGCGCGCGCGGCTGAGAGCGCGAGCCTGCATTCTTGTCAGACGATCAACCGATTAACGAAAAACGCACGAAAATATGAAGGCAAAAATCTAAGGCTTGGTTTGTTTCCTTATAGCGGGGAAATACCAGTGAACACGTGGAAATGGGTGGGTATTCGTGAGGATATTGCGCAAACGATGGTACAGCCTTTACATACACACGGAAATATTTTCACACTATACGATACACTATATTTGGAAACACTTCACGTAGGAAAGTTACTTTCGCATTACTGCTATCCGCTTCCACGAACGCACATCCTACCGATTTGCAGAAAAATGTTTAAAAAAAGATTCCTACCCGAACCCCACCTGTACCCCTAGCTGTCCCAAAGTGGTCCGTTCCTGAAAATGGGACCGAATTTGCTCACATCCTCTTTGCAGACGTTTTGTAGGTATGCGTGCGTACACACGAGTCTAGCGTGTATCAGAATCTCAGGATATCCTGCGTGCGACAGAGCGAGTTCGCACACCCACGTGTGCTCAAAACTGAGCAAAACTGCGAGCTGACTAATCCGGCCTGTTAGCCCGAAAATCGAAACGAAAATATTTGAGCGGACGACTGAGTCAGACGAACGAAAGTGCCGTTGTCTCGCACACGTCTCTCCACCGCCCCGCCGGGATGTCACCGCCCCCCTCTCTCTCTCTCTCTCTCTCTCTCTCTAACCTAGATGATAGGTCTCTCTCATCTCTCTCTCTCTCTTCTCCTCTTCTTCATCGCCTCTCGAGGCCCGGCTCTCCGTCTTTCGCTCTCTCTCTCGCTCTCTCTCTCTCTGCTTCTCTCCTCTCTTCGCACTCTCGCCTCTCTCTGCTCTCTCTCTCTCTCTCTATCTCTCTAATCTCTCTCTCTCTCTCTCTCTCTCTCGCTCTCTCGCTCTCTGCTCTCCCTCGCTCTCGCATCATCGCTCTCTCGACGTCTCCTCGCTCTTCTCTTCGCTCTCTCACTCTCCTCCCTGTCCTCTCTCTCCTCGTCTCTCTGCTCTCGTCTCCTCTCTCTCATCTCTTCGCGGTGCGGCTCGTCGTCCTCGTCCCTCTCTTCTCTCCTCTACCGCCCTCTCTGCTCTTCTCCCTCTCGCTCTACCTTCATACTTCTCTCGATCTCATCTTCCGTCGTCTCTCTTTCCTCTGTGTGTCTGCTTTCGCGCTCACGAACGTCCTGTGTTGTCTTGCACACGTCATTACGACGATGCCCGCGAGCCAGCCGCCGACATGACGACATCACGACAGCAGACGCCGACCCGTTACTATAGACGCGCGAGTGTAATTGCACTGCAGGGGGACACGGCTGCGTCAAGCACACACGCGCACAGACAGTCACGCACATACACGCACGCCGGATGCACGCACGCTTGCTCGCTCGCTTCCTCATGCACTCACTCTCTCACGCACGCACGCACTCACTCATTCACTAACTCGCTCACTCACTCGCGCACACACGCATGCACGCACACGCACACGCACACGCACAGCGAGATAGAGACAGAATGGCACACGCACATGCGTATACGAACACATATAGTCACATACGCACGCACGCACGAACGCACGCACATACGCACGATTTCAACCTTATCGTTTATAAATCGTACAAAGCTCGTTTTAAACAGCGACGAGTGCATTCGTCGTATCCATCCAGCCCCACGCTACGACCACGTCCTGTGAGCGCAATTCGTTATCTCTACCTACTAACGAGTGTAGTATCATCGGTGTTTGCTGAGCGTATACTCTGGATATACGGCCAAACTCACACAACAACTGATCAGTTCTTCTCCGCGATATTCATCCTGATTTCTCGGCCCTAGCCACATCTCAAGGTAGCGAACATTACCAACCTTGAGCGGTGCGCGCCTGCTTGAGCGCGAGAAAAAAGCCGCCCAATCTATCTTGATCCAGACTCAAAGGTCGCGGCTGGTATATACACGGAATCGTGCTGGGTTCGAGGCTCCCGCATGTCATTACAACCCTTTCCACCTCAAAAACCACAGGATACCTGCGACTGGAATTCGCGAAACGTAAATTTCAATCGCGACGTCGTCGCGAGAAATAAATAGCGGGCCAAGAATTCTGGCCTTTGTGCGTGAAAACGAGGCCCGACGATAATAGTTGAAAGATTTTCAAGGTAGATATCGAGGAACGCGCGCAGCTTTTGATAATACGACACTATTACTGACTTGAAACGGCCACGGCCTTGCAATTGGCAGCCAGGAAATGTTGTTTTAACCCAAAAAACGGGTGCCAGCGAGCGGAGCTATACAACGAATGTCTCGCAACACTTCCCCGTTTAAAAAAAAGCTCAAATGTGAATTTTTCTTAACCAGGAAAAAAAAGAGACAGAGTGTGAAGGCGAAAGAGAAGGGAGACAGTGGAATACAGAAAGCGAGAGAGAGAGAGAGAGAGAGAGAGAGAGAGAGAGAAAGAGAGAGAGAGAGAGAGAGAGATAGAGAGGAGGGGAAGAAAGAGAGAGAGGGGGAGAGGTGCAAGCCGATTTCCCCTATAGCCATCTCTGCCGCGGATTTTTTTTCGACCGACTTTTATTTCGTTAAACTCGAAAAATCACTCCCAAGAGATTATAAATATGTTTCTGACATCTCGAGGCAACCTAGACTCATCCTCCTCTCTGACTAAACCATCTATTTCATTCGCAGGGTTACACCCATAGTCTAACGTTAACGCGAGTAGTACATGATACGTACCACTCTCACAGCGTACATACTCCATAGCCAAACACATAGCCAAACACATACACCATAGCCAACACACATAGCCAAAGCTTTAATTTTTTACGGATAATTTAACTCGTTATACCCGTATAACATATATATTATCAGGAGAACGACAAAGAAAGACAGCGTAGAAGGAAGCGAGCGTGCTGATGGGGAAGCTATACCAAGGTGGTGCGCGCTTCCTTGCTCGATCATTACCTCATGGGTGTATGCAGGGGGGGGTCGTGAGGGT